CCCATCCAAGAAAACGTTGATATATATTAAAAATCCCCATGAAAAAGAAAATGCTTGCATAAATTCATGTAGGGCAAATTAAAAAAGCAGCCAGGACCCAGCAGGCTGAGTCAATGTATAGCTTGCATATGGAAACAATGACATGATTGTTTACTCACTGGTTTAATGATATTCACTTTCTCCTAATGGCAACGTGGAAAATGTGAGTGCCAGATGCTACGCCCAGAGCGGAGAAGAGAGAACAGGGGAAGGTCTAGAGTAAGGAATTTATCCTGACACCAGAATGTAGTGTAACTCTTCAGTTTATTAAACGCCGTGTTGTTTTTTTCTTTTTTAGAAAAAATACTTTGATGTCTGCAGCTTAAATTTCCATATTTTTATATCAGTTCAGCAACAAATTTACATATTTCCTGGAATCTGCAGATATAAAAGCGGTAAAACACTCCAGGCATTATTAGACAGTAGATTATAACCCATTACTATTGTTTCAATTAGCAATGTAAAAGTGACCTGCAGTGTTCAGATGACCCACTAATGGATTTAAACGCTTTCAAATATTAATGCAGGTTTTCTAAAGATGAATCCCAAACCCATTATTCCTGGAACAACTATGAGCTGAAAAGCTGGCAATGATTGTGCATTATGTGGAAAGGCTCATGGTTAATTAAATGAATACCTAGCATTACACTATTCACTTTAGTGCTACAAAATTATTTCTCATTGATTTTTACATTCTGAGTCTGTGATTCAATTTACTTCTGCAATTTGTGTTGCCGTGTCAATAAAAGGGAACTGCTTGAAGATAGGAGCATTAGAGACTGATAAATACATTAAGATCCAATGAAAACGGCAGTTTTTCTATTGTTTTCCTCCATTGAAATATCATTTGTAGCAGCACTCTGTTATATATTATTAATACAATTTTTGTTTGCTTCCATCTACTCTCTTACCCTCCCCACCCCCTTCTCTATTCAGGAACTGGAATATTAGTGATTGCTTGAGGGTGAGTAGCTAATTTTTCAGTAACAAGTTCTCTCACTATCAAGAACAAAAGCTCCATCAACATAAATCTGTTATTTCATGTTAAATGAACTAGAAGGCCAGATTCCTCATCAAAGACAGTGTGGGGAGTTGCTGTGTGTGCGTTTTCATTTCAAGGACTAAATGACACTTGTGTTTGTGAAACCATAAAAGCTAAAAAATAACAAATAGCTCAAACCCCATCACCCAATTCATGCAATGTACCCACGCTATGATGCAGTTATGAAGTGTACATTTTACTCAAAAACTGTAATGCCTGTTTTATGATTGAAATGACATGTGTCTTTTTGCAAGTCGCCCGGACTAAGTTCTGTCTGAGTCTAAAGTTGGACGTTGAGATTTGCCTCGCCACTCTTCTGGACGCCAAAATGTTGCAAACTTCAGTTTTGTTGTTCTCGGTGTCGAAAGAAATCTTAGATGTGAAATCTTAGACCTCCCTGCATCAGTGTAGACTCTGAACCTAGGAGGCATTCGGTATGTACTGTGAATTTAACTTTTCCTGAGGAAAGTAGGTTTACCAGTCAACTCTAGTAGTTAATATTTTCTACCTAGGATCATTTCACTGGAGTTTGTTGTGCCCAGATCATCTCTGCGAGGATGATCAGTTAACCTCATTGCATCATATGTCTGAATTTGTCTGCCCTCTACATTAGACCCCGCGGAGAATCCAGTCTTAGCAAAGGTGATATGCGCAGCCCAGAAGGGGTTACCATCTACTGTCTACACTCCTTACAAAATCTATCTTCAAGCTATTACTTTCCAGATTGGGCTGCATTGCCAACTTGAGTTTGAGTATTGATTTAACATAAAATGTATAACATGGAAAATTTTATATTGCAAATCATTCCTCAAAGAGTTCCAAGAAAAGATCACTCTAGAGATATGAGAAAATTAACAAAGGGAGAATGCACATGACCAATAAATACATTAAAATTTCAACTTCCTGATTCATCAATGAATGTACATTTTTCCTTATCAGAGATGAGAAGAAGGAATAATTCATATTGGTGACGGAAAATGGAGATATGCATGCATCTGGTGGGATGTACATGATACAATCTTTCCAAAGATGTTTTGAGCATACATGTGTTTAGATTTTGAGAGGCTTGCATGCCCTTTTCACTATGGAATTCTACCTTTTGGAATTTAATGTCAGGAAATAATTATGAATATGTACAGAGATTTAGCTATAGAGACTGTTCACCTAGACCTTATGGTGTCATTTATGAGAGTAAAAAAACTGAATACATCCTGTCTAAAAGGAGGAATCAGCTAGTATATTATGATGCATTAGTACAATGGGATAGTATTCAATAATTTAAAATGATATACAACAAAATTTAACGATATGGGAAGACATTTACAATATATTGTTGATTGAATAAAACACACCACACAAACACACACACCCACAAGCGACCAGACTGTGTATCACCTATTTGGTGTTTAAATAGTTAGGTTATATAATTTCTTTAATAATTTTGAAGATATTCCAAAGGATTCAAATTATTGCTTCAAATATTTTTGTTCTTATAAAAAAGTAACTTGTGTTCATTGTAACTTAACCAACATAAAAATAACACCCTCTACATCTATACATCCACGTGTTGGTATACAGAGGGAAAGGTACATGGGTAAGATACACAACAAAATATTCACAGAAACTATTTTTTAGCTATGCTGTGAATTATTTTTTCCTCGCATTTTTCCTTCTATTTTTAAATAGGCCTACAAATAATATGGATAATGTGTTTTAGTAGTTGAAAATATGATTGTGAATTCTCTTTTAGTTATCCTACCCAGAAGCCAAGTGGGAAGAAGCACTTGTAACTTTTATGGAAAGAAAGATAAAATAATTAGGAACAACCATGACAGAGGGGAAAAATACTGATTTACCTGTCAAAAAAATTCTAGAAAAAAATCCTAGCACTCTGAATTACTAGCTAGGGACCCGGCAACTCACTCAACATCTCTGAGCTTCCATTTCCTCTAAATACACCTCTATACCCCAAAGCAGCAATGGTCAAATGAGGAGAGCAAAGGCCTAATTGTATGTGAATATGGACGTAGTGACTTCTGAGAGGGTTGCACATGGGCTTAAATACCACCGAACCCTTCCTCATGTTCTAGGTCGCTGCTTCATTCACTCTTTGGAGCCTTGTGCGCATTCACAGCCAATCAGACTTTTACCTTGTGACATTTGCTCCAAAGGATTTTCTGTCACTAAAATGAAATCCATCTTTTCAGAAGAGGACACAGCAATAAGTAATACAGGGATGTTCATAACACCTTGCTCCCAGTAACCAGTAAAAGTCATTCTTATCGTTGTAGCCTTTGCATGAGCTTCGCAAGCACAGGGCCCACGCGTTTTTTTGCTCACTCACCATTGCACACTCTGTGTCTGCACACAGTAGGTTCCTGTTGCCAAATGAAGACATACAACCCACCCAGGTGAGAGTTTTGAAATTTGAGGACTGCATTTTTACTGAATCCTTACCTTTGTTGTGGCAAAATTGAAACAGATAATTAGAAAATGATTATATAACACTTTGCTAATTGTGTAGCTGGTAAATAAAAATTGTGTGATATTAGAAAGGGACAGCCATTGTTCTTAGAAGCTGGGATTATTGTATTTGGTAACCAGGGATCTAGCTCCTTCTTTGGTCAAAGTTCCCAACTTCCCCGTGGTCCCCCTAAACAGAATGGAAAATCTGGAATCTGTTCTGATGGTGCCGCTTAGACAGTGTCTGTGCTTGCTGATGTGTTGCTGGCTGGTGAAGAAGGCCAAGCACAGGCCATCGGGCTATGCACAAGACACATTTTCTTAGGTAACTAAGCAAGGGAAATAAAAAAAAAATTCTTTATAATACAACTTTTCAGTATCCAGACCACTACGTAATCACGATCAGTAAAGCTGGGCTCTAAGGATAAATACACTTTTTATTTTTTACTTTTTTAATGTTTTATTTATTTCTGAGAGATAGAGAGAGAGACAGAGAGAGAGCGAGCGAGCAGGGGAGGGTCAGAGAGAGGGAGACACAGAATCTAAAACAGGCTCCAGGCTCTGAACTAGCTGTCAGCACAGAGCCTGATGTAGGACTTGAACTCAAGAACCATGAGATCATGACCTGGGCTGAAGTTGGATGCTTAACCACCTGAGCCACCCAGGTGCCCCATAAATATGCTTTTTAAAAGCTGGTTTGAATCTATGCTGTTTCTCAGCTTGCCATTTTTATAGGAGTGGAAAACTTAGGCTTCCACCTCAGTTTGCTCATCTTTGAAAAGGGACTATTCACAATGTATCAATTATAGGGTGGTTACGGAGGGCCCTGAGATAATACATGATGAATGGTTTCAACAGTGAAGGCAGAGTTTTTAAACCCTAGTTCCTAGACTATTCCTGCCTCTCTGCTTCTCCTGCTGGAGCCTGGAGCAATGTTCAAGAGGTCTTGTCTGGGGTAAGACAAAGCAAGCGGGAGTCTCTATGAACTAAATGGTAAAGTAAGAAAATGGTTCAGATGACTCAAGCCATGAAGATATTTGACTAACACTGCTTTAGTTCTTTAATTCCTCACTCAGGAGGCACAGCCATGGCCATGTTTTACAGCTGAAAGAAACTTTGCAGGATCTCTGGTGTGGTCCCCTTAGTTGACCTTCCCGTCAGAGAGGTAGGATGGATGGCTAAGAGTTGCTCAGCCAGGTGGCAGTTTCATCCTGGTTCTCATGCTGTCTGGACTCTCCACCATATTTGTTTTTTCTTAATGTTCTAAAGTAGGCTGTCTTTAAATTAAAACAAAACTTCCACAAAAAAATGGTCGTACTCTTGTCTTTAGGCATTATACATTTTTATAGCATTGCATTTTACAGATTACCTTATGTATTAGACTGTACACACACACACACACACACACACCCTCCCCCCCCACCCCCGTTCATTAACCAATGTGCTGCTAGATCTGGGGCTTACAAATACATTTTTATAGAAAAATTTCAGGGTTCCCATGTGTAACTGCTTTTTCAGTAGTATTTTGCAAAGGAATGACTAGAATGGTAATGGAGTCTGTTAGGCTGATATCCAGGGCCTGGGCTGGCTGCATGGCGGTTCTAGAAAGTGCTGAAGGATGATCTCATTGTTTGCTGCAATATAAAGGGAACGCTTGATTAGGGCATGTCACTCCCATTCATCTTGAAAATAACACATAGAGTTCAATGGACCCAGTGCTGAGGTATGTAGTTTTCAGTGCTATAGAAAGGGGAGCCTTGTTATCAGTAGTTACAATGTTATTCTACCCTGACAGTTCAGGACAGTGTCGCCAATAGCTTCTTGGACAAGTGAACTTAACAGGGAATGTGGCACTTTTCACATCTGGCCAAAATTCACGTGACATTAATTTTGTTTTGTTTTTGCCAAGATTATCTTTACTTGCACCATTACCTTGATTAATGCACAAGCAGATAATAACATATCAACATTGAAATAACCACAACGTAACTATCTAGGGGAGAACAGCTAAATGAAAATAGAGCGGAATGAAAAAAGGGCATTTCGTGATGGAATAGACAAGAGCACATTTTGAACATGCATTCTCCTCTAAATGTTTTCACAAATTTGATCATTATGTTCATTTTATTTAAAGTTAGCTAAGATTAACTCATAGCAAGAGAAAAAATATATCCTCTATACTATACTATAAAAGCTATAAAATCTAATTAGATAGTGGGAATTCAATAGAAATTATTACAGCCATAACGAATTAGAACACAATAAATAGTATAGATTTTGGAAATTTATTGCCTCAGGTAGATAGTGCATACATTATTAAGCTATGCAGAAGTCGTCTGGAGAAATATTTATTCAGAAGTGAGCTAAGTGAGGAGGCCGAAGATTATTAAGGTCACCGTAAAGACATGAGACCACAGAGGGGAGGGGAGGATTCTGGGAACAGACTCAGTGGAAAGCTTAGTACCAGAAAACCACAAAGAACTAATATGTTTGGGAAGACACACTGCATCCCAAAATACTTTTTGAATAGTTACAGAAATAGCTTTATTTTCTTTCAAAAGAAATAGGAAATACATTTTACATAATCTAATCAGAACAGGAAGACTGCATTTTGTGCCAAGCTTAACATGAATTCATTTTCTTTGTTATAGCTTAACTAGCCCTAGCCTCTCCCCTCCAATCATAACAGGCTCCTTCTGGTTTAATTATGTTTCTAGTTTTGAAGACGGGGTAACCACTTATGCAGGGAATTTGACTTTCATTGATCAAGAGGAAAAATGTTGGTGTTCTGATTAACCATTTAACTGACCCCCAGTTTAGCTTCTTACGATAGTTCTCTCTCAGACATGGGTGTAAGGCACCCAGCATATAGGCGGAGGCAATTGAACCCCTCAGATACTCTAACACAATTGCAAATAGTGTTATACATCACTTTTTTATTAAATGCACAGTAGAGAGCCCTGAGACCTGAAACAGGAGAGGACTTAACACTCCACGAGAGGAAGCTGTATATTTTGAGACCAAATGGTGAAGAAAATTACTAGAATGAGCAATTTATCTGAAACTTGACTATGCATCGGACCTTTTGATCCAGCTAAAAAGTATCAATTCCTCAGTTTGCCCTTGCCATTTTAATTGCAAGTCCAATGAATTCGCAAGAAAACAAAAGTGAGATTAGATCTGAAAATACGATTCTTACTTTGGCAATCAAATAACAAAACTATTGAAAAGACAGCATGGTTTTCACTTCTATGTGGAGCATGTGTTTTTTTACATTCTGAAATGAATGTTCACTATAGACTCACATTGTATAGTTTTTACAGAAAATAACTAAAAAAGTTAACTTTTATGTAATCTAAATATCAGGGTTCTGGGCAGAGGCTACTGAATCTCGCATTGTGTTTCCCCTATTTTGTGGCTGTGGGAAAGCAGATTTGGTACTCAGCGTGTTTGTCTTTCTTAGATTTTCAAGATATTATATTAAAATATCATACTAAAAGCAATAATATATAGGCATTAAAGAGTTTGCTATTGAACAATCTTTCCTCAAAATTGAACATTTTGGTGCAAGCTTGAATTTGTTCTATAGATTTAGCTAGTGTCTATCTCCAATGTAAGATTTTCTGGACCCTATCTCAAATTTTCAAGTTCCTAATGTTCAGTGAGAAAATATAACTTCCTATGATCCATCCTACAGCATACTTCTTAATACATACAAAATAAATTGCCTGAAAAAGTCAGGGAAATAGTTTAAAAACAAGGCAGAAAAACCAAAAAATTACAAAATATTCTTTAAAGGAATCACTTGATATTTAAAAATAAAATTGTGCAAAGGCTATGGAAATCTTAAATCCACTGTCATATATATAGTCATATATATGTACATATATATATATAGAGAGAGAGAGAGAGAGAGAGACAGAGACAGAGAGACAGAGAGAGAGAGAGACCTCATTTAAGATTTCACTAAGACTCTGTGAGCTGAAATTCACTGTTGATAAGAAAAACGGAAAGTGTTTGACTTTACTGGACCTTAACTTCATTGGAGCTTAGTATATCCATCTGATGTAATAAATTCACACTTTTCTATGTTAAATTCATTCATACAATAGGAGCTTATAAAAAAGAATATAGACTAAAGAGTAAGTTGCATAATGAGATTTAATCTATGTAAAATATGTCCCAGAAGAAATGTCCTTTACTTTGATCATATCCCTTGAAACAAGATCCCCTGCTGGAAACCACAATAAAACGAGAGCTTGGGAAAAAAAAAAAAAAAAAAAAAAAACTCCTCTGGCAAGCAAGCTTGCTTTTTAAAACAAAAGTTCACCAAGCCCACCAAGCCCATGATCCTGGGGTGGGCTTAATTAATGTCAATGAAATCTCAAAGGTTCCCTGAGGCTTAAACGGGAAATAAATCTCAATGGCTTCTCCGTGCCTTCCTCTCTGAGATTCTCAGATTGGAGACACACACACAGATGTGCACATGTGTGCATATGCATACATGCTACACATGCATAAACACACAGTAGGTGTCTATTTCATTATGAAGTGCCCTTTTCAAATTTTATTTATTCCAGAGGAGGTATCACTTTGTCATCATTTACAACATGGCTCCTGAATGTCAACAGCTACATTGTCATCTTACAATCAGAATGACTTAGCATATTTCTCTAAGTGGACATGGTAACATTTCTGTCTTGCTTTTGGGTTCTATCATTGACTTACGTTTATATTGAATCCCTGGGGCTACCCTGTCAAGCTCAACTGAAAAGACATTTTTGAGTGGAATCTCTAGTTATTGTTCATTAAAATTTTACTAGTCCCTCATTGAATTGAAAGTTTGTTGTTGTTTTGTCACATGTACACACTCCATTCCATTTTACTCAGACTCAACGAGGTTCTGATCCGGACTGCAAATTTTTCTAGAAGAAATATATAACTAGAAATGCTAACAAATGTTTAATTTCCCCTTATATTGGTTATGTATGCAAAGACTTGTCAGGAGCAGGTTCACAGATCACAGAAAACCATGTTGTCCCTGAAAAATGAACGAGGAGGCTATAGACCAGTTTTCATTCATACCTAAACGCACGGTAAATGCTGATTCACTGGCTTGGAAGTTACAATTCCACCCTGTAAATAGCACAGCTAACTTTTAATGTGAAACACACACACATACACACACACACATGCGCGCGTGCACGTGCGTGTGTGTTTCAGAGTCATGAAGCTGCTGTACTACCCAAGGAAACAGATTCTGAAAAATGATTATTTTTATGAAAATTCTCTTCAGTTGTTCTTCTCCTATCTTTCCAATTATGGCAGCCACATCATTTTGAGACTCTGAGTCACTTTAAAAGTTTTGTTATGCAGACTTCAATTTTCTAAAGATCTCAGAAATTTACGAGAGGTCTTAACAAACCTGGTGTGACTCTGCACGGTTTTGTGCTGCCTTTGTAGTTTCTAAAGCACTCTAACATTATTTAATTAGCTAAAATTTCTCCTCTCTTGAGAAATGGAAACTCAATGAAATGTCAACAATGCTGTCAGTCTGCTTCAGGCTAAACTCATTACACAAAAACTAAAGGTAAAAATAGTCCAAGGCAGAATTCTTTGTCACAGATTTGAGGCCCACACCTTATGCCAATGAAATCCATATGTGATTCTATAAAAATGCTAAACTGGGAAGAGTAGCTAATAAATTATCTCAACAGAAGCAATAATTGATCAGTCCTTGCATAGAAATTTATCTAATTAGCCAAATAACATATCAGGTTCTGTTGGGGATTATCTGACTACCACATTTACTGTTTGATGAACCTTTGCTTTTCAGCTCTGGGAAGGCTAAAAAATGCTCTGAGCTGCTCTTTACACCAATATGAATTTTTCCCCCAAGAAAGAAAGAAAAAAATAATTGTCTTTTTAAGCCAAGTACAGCCAAGAATGGAACAAAAATGCCTCAATTTATCTGATTTATCATGGAGGGCATGGAGGGTTTGGGATCCATGGACACATTACTAAAGATAGTAAAAATTTGGCATTTTCTATTGTCTAAGGGTTTATAAAGGCTAAGTTTCTTGATTTATTTAAATAGATTATAGGAAAGAGCAAAGTACAAAAACAAGTGCTATATACTAAAGGTATGTGAATTACTCCTTCCCAAGGATAATGCAAATTAGAAATACGTAAAGCTTTGTCTGCACCTGGGATCTTTAATGAGGATAAAGAAAAATCAGACAGAGATTCTCCTGGGGAAAGAGAAGATCGTTATTTGAATAACCTGCAGTGAATTCTAATCAATGCGACGTGACTTTGAAAATGAATGTGGTCTTTCAACCCGCTGTACTTGAGCTGTAATATTAATCATAACTTCATGGTACAGTAAAGCTTATGACAAATGCTTGTTCAGTAGACTCAGAAAAAGACTGGCTTGGATATGCTAAGGAAATCTGGAACCATGGAAATACAAAGACTCTTCTTTTTTCCTCCTTGCTAGCCCATTTATTGGCTAGTGTTTCCTGTTATCTTTCTTTAATTATCTCGAAAGAGGTTGATGCAAATTGCATGTCATAACTGTAATTGTTTTCTTTTTTTTCCAAAGGTGACATTTTACACACACTTATTTCCTGAC